CTTTCTTCTGTTTCAGTCTCCGGGCCATTTTCATCTGTGGATTCATGGAAATCATCGTCTTCATCAGAAGGGAATTGCTGAAAATAAAATTGCTGAAAAGGAAGACTCTTTTGTTTTTCATCTGTTGTCAATCTATATTCTGTTTCATGCTCATCATCATAATACATCTTGTTAATGAATTTAACATCTCTGCTTATAACCAGTTTATTATTTATCCAGATTCTGTAGCCTTTAGTGTTTTCGGAGTATCCTATAAAAACTCCTTTTTTAGCTCTCGATTCAAATTTGCGTTTTCTGGTTTTAGTGAGAACAAATGCTTGTATGCCAAATTGTTGAAAATGTCTTACTGACGGCGTGTAACCAGCCCAATTTTCAAAGGGTGTTTTTTCTGTTGGTCTTGTTGGCAATCTATTGGTTACATAGTTTGCAGTATGTATGGCTTCGGCCCAAAACGTTTCTGGTAAACGAGATTCAATTAGCATGCAGCGGGCTTTTTCTATAAGTGTTCTATTTTTTCTTTCAGCTAAACCATTGTGTTGTGGTGTGTATGGTGCTGATAATCTTCTTGCAATACCTTGGGATTTAAGGTATGTATCAAATTCTTTATTACAATATTCTTTTCCATTGTCTGTTTGTAGTACTTTGAGTTTCTGACCAGTAAATCTTTCCATTTCCTTTTGATATTCTATGAAATATTTCAAAGCCTCATTTTTATGTTTTAGAAAGTATACTCTACAGTATCGGCTATACTCGTCAGTAAAGGTGATAAAATATCTATGACCTGCTTTACTTTCTATTGGCATTGGGCCACACAGATCTGAATGTACTATTTGTAGCTTTTCTTTTGCTTTTGTTTCTTCACGTCTTTCTGCAGGGAAAGGTAAGTTCGCCATTTTTCCTTTTACACATGTTTCACATTCTTGTAACTTTTCATTTTCATTGAAGTTTAAACCACTTACAGCTTCATTTCTTAATGCAAGCTTTAGGTCTTTTTCATTTATGTGAGCCATTTTCTTGTGCCAATCATTGATATCACCAGAACTTTCTTTTTGCACTGCATAAGCTTCCTCTGCATTTTCGTTTGAATTTTTATTATCCGTGTGTACAATACAAGCTTCTTCTGTTTCTTCATTTGAGATTGTGCTATCTGTATGTGCTATGTAAGTTTCATCAGTTTCATGTGGATTTTGTATGTTTTGGATGTAATATAATCCATTTTCACAGACGCATGTCAATATAATTTCTCCTTCTTTGTTTTCTGTGTAGGCATCATACTCTCTGAATGTGGAATAGCATTTGTTTTTAGCAGCTCTAGATACAGAGACTAGATTTGCAGAAAGTTTTGGAATGTACAGGGCGTCATTTAATTTTATATTTACATCACCAACCTTTAATGTAACAAGTCCTTTTCCTTTAATGCACTCAATTTTGTCTGTACATGCTAGGTATACAGTATCTTCCATTTCAACAAAGTTTTGAAAAAGGCTTCTGTCATTTACCATATGCGACGTACATCAACTGTCCAAACACCATCTTTTTGATGAATTAATATCCATTTTGTAGCATGCTTCTAATGCGCAGAAGTTCTGGTCAGATCTTTTTGTTTCATATTTCTTGCCGCCTGGGCGTTTTCCATATTTAAATTGATTGTATTGGCCTGTTTTTTGTTTATTATATTGTTTGAATCTCTGGGTATAAAATGCTTCCTCTTGAGTATCTGCATCCCTTTCGCGTGCTTCACTTTCTTCTATTATTTTTGTCTTCAGTTCTTCGAGTGTAGGAAGTTTTTCTCTAGTCTCTATAGCAACTCTGAAGTTTTCAAAGGATTCTGGGAGGCTGTACAGCATCATTATAGTCAGAAGGTCAGCATTGACATCTATTTCCATGTCTTTTAATTTGTCAACAAGATCAACAAATTGGTTTATGTGATCTCTGACATTTTCCCCAGGTTTCAATCTAAGATGTAGCAACTTTTTGAGTAAAGTGGCTTTTCGGGCAGGCCCCCGGCTCTCATAGGCGGTTTTTAGTGTGTCCCATACTTCTTTTGATGTTTTACAGGATCTGATAATCTTCAATTCTTTTGGGGAAATTATCAGTATTAATTCTGCCTTTGCGAGAGAATCTTTCTTTGTATCCTCAGTTCCACTTACGCATTCGAAGAGTCCTGCTTTAGTTAGCACGGCTTCGGCCTGGACCTTCCATGTATCGTAATTTGTGTTCGTCAAGGGCTCGATGTGAACTTGAAATTTTGATGTAGCCATTTTTAGTTTTTGCGCGCAGTTTAAGCTCTGGGCCCATAACCTATGGGGTTTAGATACCCCATGGATCTTAAATAAAAGTAGATGGCTATCAAACACTTGTTTTATTAATGAAAACAATAGAAATACGTTTTACAATCAGGTAAGGGAACGAGTAAGTAAGTGAGTGACAGATCAACATTCTTAAATTAAATAGGCGGGAAGCCTGAGGTAATTATTGCTATACAGCCATACAGCTGTTTTACACTCAACACAATTTTAGGCGACAGGTTGTCAATCTTTTACTACCATGTCAGACGTGATATGAATGGCCGCTTTATGGCCCTTCATGCTCTGCCTATCCCGAAAGGGATATAGGCTTAATATATGTGTGTGTTAAAATAAAGACAAGATAACCGGCAGTACCTATACCGCATAGATCTGTCAGAAGGGAGGGTAGTGAAGTTAGAAGGTAGAAACTTTTTCCAGGTAGCGAGAGATTTCCACAAAAGTAGTCACGTTATCAGATTGGCGAGTAAAAATTGAATAAATTGAAACCTTTCGCGCGACCGACTGGGAAGCGCTACAATATAATTTAAGTAATTATAGCCCCTAGGGGAGAGCCCCAATAAATACAATTGGAAAAAGGGTGCTGATTCTGTTTGATCAAAAACTGTTTTAGCTAATGATTTTAATGACTTGACTCTACGTTTTTATTTGTGATTTAGTAGTTAATTACCCAGCTGTGTAACTGTACCTATGTACCTTGTTGAGTTGCTCGTCGTGGACTACTTATTACCTAGGTATGATTGAAAGAAACATACCTAAGTAAGTAGTGACCTAGAACCTACCAATGTTTCTTTTAAACAACGTGTTACAAAACAAACAATAAATGTTCCATACAAATTGATTTAATTTTCTATGGGGGGTCCAAATTTTTTTTTTCATATTTCGGCACATGTTCCATGGGAAAAATTGTTCAGTTTCACGAGTTCCTTGATCTCCTAAGCGTTATTGGTTGTTTTGTAACACCCCGTATAAGGTTACATTTAATTAAGTACTCATAAAACTGAACAACTTTTATTAAAAACTTTTCTTTCTAAAATGAAAAAAGGAAATCGGGCTACCCATTCACACAATGTCGAAAAAGTTCGTCACTTAGAATTATGCGCGATCTTATTTCTTTTTCATTTCGAAGAACAGGTTCTAATAAAAGTTGTTCAGTTTTATGAGTAGAATATGCCCTTCAAAACTTTGTCATCATCATCAACAGCCCGCACAACAGCCCACTGCTGGGCATAAGCCTCTTCTTTCTCACGCCAGTTTTTACGGTCTTGTGCCACATTACCCTCATCCAGTACTGTCCCCCCACGGCGACGATGTCGTTCGACCATCTGGCAGGTGGTCTGCCAACTGAAAATTTGTACTTAAATTAAATTTAAGCCTTTATATCTATACTCGAAAGATTGTTGGGAAAAGTTACCTAGTTATTTTATGACCAGTTCAGTACGCGCCCGTACGCTTAGATTAGACATAACTTAGAAATCATTTCAGTTCGCTTTGGGAGGGATGGTTTATCCAAGGCTTATCTAAAATACCTAGGTCGTCGTCTGTCCATACCTACTCAGAATACTTTTTGTTTGTTCTCCATAAATACCTCAGAAGTACTTACCTAAGGCACATCACGTCTTTCTGGAAGCGTCAATGCTGTAGCCACAATAAAAATAGACACATAACAGTTTTTGCAGCAATTAATCTGCTCCATTCTATAGCATCTATTGTTGTGATTGTAATCCGGGACCGATATGGAAATGACGCGCCATTATCGCTTAATGCTACATTGTGTTAGTGTGTTCTATCATGGGGCAGAACACATAGAAGGCCGCCGTGGCGAAGACGTGACGTGGACATGGATATCCAATGCTCGTTCTACTCTAGATCGATCTTCTGAGTTCATGTTGAAACGGTATTGTACAGCTAAGTCCATGTGTTGAGCCTGCTTCTACCTACATGTCTTGTAAGATGGTCTGGTAATAAGTTTTCCGAGCACGGACGGGACTGGGAGCCCCGTATATAAGGTCCGGCGTGAGGATCGTCGTCACATTGTCGCAGCAGCCGGCACAACCCCGTCTAGTGAAGCCTAGATCAGGACTTGGTGCTTCGAGACAAAACTAGAATATCAACATGTACAAAATGGTGAGTTTTAAAATAAATTATCTTATTTTTATTGAAGAAAAGAACATATTGCATTGCAAGGTAGTTATTATTGCATTAGTATTCTAAATAGAAGTGTAAAAATTAAAGTAATTCAACTTAACAAAGTGAAACTTAAAATAAAAGTGAAAATTTTAACAGGTAGATATGTATCCCACATAATCTTAAGTCAAAAGTTTTTAGTTCCCGTTCCATTTTTCTCTACCTACCGTTTTCTCTACGTTTCACAGAGCTAGTAGAGATTTAGGTAAAGTTTTATAAAAGTTCATAATCCTCTATTACAACACGACTAAAGTCTTAAATATATTATGCATATGCAATACAACCTATTCTTGCATTCCAAGTGGATTTGATAACTTTACCACTTTTTCAGTCTTCCTGTTTCTTATAGATAATATGAATTATTTTGCTATGCTTTTCAAAGAACCGACAACACATGCAACAGGTTCTCTTTTCTATTGGGATTTTAATGCACTCACAGTGATATAATTAAATCTATTTTCATAAATGAACTCACAAAACTTGTAAATACTTTCTACCAGTTGTCGTTAGATCGTCGCTCAGTGGAAGAGCGGTGGGGCGGTAGCCCATGCGGCCCGGGTTCGAGCCCCGGTGATGTATGAAATTTTTTCAATTTCTTATTTTCGTTTTATGAGATTCTGTATTCAATCCTTTTCGTGCAGATGTTGTTCGTGTTTGCGGCGCTGGCGCTGCTGGGAAGCGTAGCAGCCAAGCCGCAGGTGCTGGTCGACTACGCCGGCTACTACGCCGCGCCAGTCTCCTACGCCTACAGCCCGCTAGCCTACACCTACCCTTACGCCTACGCCTACTCCTATCCCTACTATATCTGATAGATAACAGTTGTTGGTTTGCGAGGCGCTGGTGTTCGATTACGCCGGCTACTACGCCGCGCCAGTCTCCTACGCCTACAGCCCGCTCGCCTACACCTACCCTTACGCCTACGCCTACTCCTATCCCTACTATATCTGATAGATAACAGTTGTTGGTTTGCGAGGCGCTGGTGTTCGATTACGCCGGCTACTACGCCGCGCCAGTCTCCTACGCCTACAGCCCGCTAGCCTACTCCTACCCTTACCTACGCCTACTCCTATCCCTACTACATCTGATAATATGTATATTGTGTATCTCAAATGCCTTGAAGGCGGGTATTCATTGGGGACAAAATACAAGGCACTTTGAATCTGATATAATGTTCCCGAAAAGTTCCCAACGAAGACGCACACTCGATGGGAACTTTGTTCCGAAACATTGTTTTAAATGCGTCTTCATTGGGAACATTTATTGGAAAACTTTCGTATCTGATACAATGTTCCGGAACTTTGTTCCCTATGAATACCTGCCTCTATTTGATGTAACAAGTTGAGTGGCAAGTCTGTGCACTGATATGCTACTCTACTCGTCACGTAAGGTTAAGGCTAAGATTAGTTAGTCACAGTATATTATATATGCCGAAGTGCAATAATCCCAAAGAATGAAAATCCAATGTATGTAATCGAACCAAAATTTTGGAGATTATTAACTTCCGTATAATCAGAAATGGCTGTTGATTTATATTGTAACACTTTTTTAATACTTGAGTTGATTGAAACCAAAACGAAAGCATTTTCAGATTTTGTATGGTAAATGTGCAATTAAGTATTATTTTTGTGACGTTTACAATTTACCTACCTACCTGTAAGGTAATAATAATAAGAATTAATACAGGAATCATGTGATATTGTAATTTTTCCCGCAATAAACGTTGTAAAACGTAATATGTCTTTTTTTTCAGCTACACTTTGCGCGAGCCATACATGTGCAGTAGTAAATAGAAAATGAACTGTATCAGGAAAATCAATCGGTAGGAATTAGTCTCAGGATATTATCACAAAGTATTATTTTATTATACTTAGCTACCTCTATAGTATCCTTTGCTGCTTTGGGATTAAATAGCACTTGTAGCAAAATTCACTTCGCTTTGTTGTTGTAACTATTGTTTTTACTATAAAAACAAAAGTGTCTCGACCTTTTTGATGAGAATTAAATTATTACGTGACTAGCGTAACGTTCACGTTCTATTTGCTGCTGAAAAGTTCTAAAGTAGGTATCTGTCTATTTCAAATTATTACGCAAAATTTATCCATTTACATACTGAAGATCTGATTGTCTCTTAGAAAATACTCAAACATTGTTCGGTATTCTGCGCGAGTGAGCGTGAATGATGGATGAGGTCATCCACGTACGTACTCGATATAATATTTCTATCGAGACGGGATCAGATGACATAAGACGTGGCATGCTGATGTGGTGTGCTCGTGATGGCATGTGCAAGGACCCACGTGGGCTCATGGATTTGTTATGATGTTCTCATTAGCATGCAAACTTGCATGCGAAGCATGGGACATAGACTTTTGACGGTCTAATGATTGGCGCTTATTTGGAAACTTCCTTGAACCGGACCGATTGGAAGTGAGGAAGAGTAATTTTCCAATTAGAATAACTACTACAAATATTATCACGCCTTTGTCACATGCAGGGTATATCAAAACGGTCGTATTTGGTCATTTCCTTGCAGATAGTGTATCATTCTAGATTCTAGAAACATGTTGGCTGTCAACCTATCGCCTAAAATAAATAAGTATTAAACACTTTTGCCTCTACTTGATGCTAACGGAAGTTTACTTGTTTTCTTACTATTTTTTGCTCTTTGTTTTTATTTGTTCATACGAAAGACATCAACGGGATACGCTAGTTTGTTGTGATGTGAAGGTAAATGAGAATGCATAAAGTATATCCATCGTTATGTATTTTCTTGATAATGAATACAAATAGTCATTATAATAATATTCTATTAGCTTTCGGTAGATAGGTACATAAGTAGTAAGTATAACAGTTTGCTATGTAGATACCTAAAAGTACCCTTCACCAGTGTACAGATCTAATATTATACCGGGAGTAACAGAAAGGGTATTACAAGCCGAAAGGAGGTCAAGGTACTCATGAAACTGAACAACTTTCCCTATGGAACATGGGTCGAAATATGAAAAATAAATTTGGACATCCCATAGTAAATCAATCAGCTAATCGGCAACTTTGTATGGGAGGTCAAATTTTTTTTTATATTTTTCGACCTATGTTCCATAGGGAAAAGTTGTTCAGTTTCATGAGTACCTTGACCTCCTTTCGGCTTGTAATACCCTTTCTGTTACTCTCGGTATAGAAAAAAAACTAGCGAAAACATAATATTTTTTCATTGAGTTGTAAGTAGTTAGCATTCAGACAGCTTATTAGATAATAATTAATTTAACAGACAGAAAGTAAATCATTTGTGCTGTAGTTTTATTAAAGTGACATTGGTGTAGGAGCACCTTAGGGATATTGTTAGTGTGTGCATCAAAAAAATTAGAACTAACCCAATTATGGGATCAAAATTACCTATACACTAGTTCTCTATACAGTTATTAAGAATAACCAGTTTAGTTAACGTTGATCCCTTATATAGAGTGATGTTGATAGATGTATGGGTCCACAGAATAAGGACATTTTTTTTATAAACAATGGGTAAGCATTTGTTCACAATCTCACCTGATGTTAAGTGACGATGCAGACGATGATGGAACATGCTCGCCCAGATAATGCCTATTCACTCTCGCCTAGCTATAGAACCTATATTAAAGGTTGTCACTTTTGTTGTGGAGTCAATATGGCAAGACAATCATAATTAAACAACTTAAACGAGTTACTTCTTAGACATTAGTCATATTACAAGTAGAGTCAATGAAAATTAAATATATTTTGTCACTTCTGCCCGCATTAACTTCAATTTGCAATAACAGTTTTTTGTCAATCTATTTATTACACGAAAAAAAGGTATGAGCATGAGCAATATTAAGATATGGATATGTCCTTATTCTGTGTTAAGTACCAATAGGTCAGTCAAATTATTATTTTATAGTTGTATGTAGGTAGTTACATGAAAGCTAGTAAAGAAGAATTATCTATCGAGACAATGTTGGTCAAGAAAAGGCTTTAGGCAAGTCAAGAACATTATTGTATTTTAATCTAGAAGTTAGTAGGAGAGTATCTAATCATTTAAGCTGAAGAAACCAACATTCTAGGCTACATTACAGTAAAAACTAAGTATTACTAATAGCTACATACACACATATAGATACATTCTTAAAATATTATTTAAGTACACGATAAATTATAATACTTAGTTATATTTTCTACTTTATATTTCACAAACTACTTTGATACTATTATTTTTTACAGAAATTTTTCACGCCGTTATTTTGAGTCCAGTCTTTTCACTAAGTCTTTTTCTATTAATTAACACGTTTTTCCCTCATGATATCTCAGTCACTTTCAGACTTCAGAGCCTTTAAAAATCCAACTCACAGTTCCAACTAGAGTTTTCTTTCCACTTGGGACATTAATATTCACACACGCAAAGTGTTTTAGCTTCACATTTTGCAGCTAGCCAGTTCTTTACACTTAGTCAAGGTGGAGGATTCAGGCGACCTCAAGGTCTGAGTCGGAGTCGTCGGAGTACTGCCTGGGCGGCAGCGGCGGGGGCGAGTGGGGCGAGTGGGGCGAGTGGTGCGAGTGGGGCGAGCAGGGGGAGTGCGCGGGCGCGGGGGGGCGCGGCATGAGGGGAGCGCGCCCGCACGCCCGCTCCTCCTGCATCTTGCGCAGGCGCTCCTGCTCCTCGCGCTTCTGCTTGCGCCATTTCGCGCGACGGTTCTTGAACCACACCTGCAAAAGAATTAATGGTTACAATACATTGAAATTGAGGAACTTGAAAAATTCATTTTCGACCGCCGGGACTTGAACCTGGGATCGTTGGGTACCGTCCCACCGCTCTGCCAACTGAGCTACGGGCGCCTGAATCTTTCAACCTCTTGATGCTCGTCTCAAAGCGACGTTCCTGGTTACAATGCTTCTCTAACTGGTCTTAACCATGCATCATCATCTATCTGCCCTTCTGCCAAATCAGTTGGGATCGGCGCAATATGTTTCGTTAGAGCACAAAAACATGTAGCAGAAGGATTTGGCAAAATTTTAGGACCGGTCTGATGTCAACCCTCGTAGGTGGTATCACCGCCACCATGACTATATTCGACAGATGGATAATTTTGTCCCAGTTGTACCATCAATGGTACTGTCCAATGGTACAACTGGTCCTGCGGGAGATATTCAGCCGATGTCAAAAACTCTACGTCGCCTTTTACAAAACACCCTGAGTGGAATAGGGGTGGCAGTATTCTTAGCCGCTACCACACGGCATCTTGTAGCGCTACGTGGGTACATGTTTTGATGACGTAGATGAATTAGAAATAAGGTTTTGGAGGAAAGATCTCCAATTTGAAGATCCTATGGGACAACATCGAATCTCAGTATTTATCCAAGCTCCCTACACGTTTGGTTAAATCTGTAAAGCTGAATGAATGCATACTAGTTATGTTATCTTTATTTCTATAAAGCAATAGCTAAATAAATTCTGTCGCGAATTGATTTAACTAAGGAAAAAAAGAAATTGAATATTGCACCTGAGTCTACAAACTCTATTCAAGTCAATACGACTACTGTATAAAATCGTTAAGCTTCGAAACTAAATG